GTGTACAGCAAGTGGTACATTTGCATTAGGAGTATATATTTTGTATTTAGTTCTCAGCTTCGGTATTTATTCCAATTTTTTTGTGTTTTATACAAAATCTTGTCATTTTGATCTGTTAAAAATGTTTAGTGTACTCCCAGCACCTGGCATCAAGCTTTACCAAAGGAAAAGGACTCTCCCTCAAGAATGGTTTCTTTCCAAACTCCTGTCTCCCCTTTTTTCTTCTTGTAGTCCTTCCTTAAAGTGGGTTACAAAGGTAAGCAATGTTGCTATTGTTAAGAAAACAAAGGAAACAAAATGAAGTATCAAAAGTGCTGGAAAAAAACTTAGAGGCATGTTAGAGACACAGTAAGGGCCTGGAGAGCTTCTCCTGTTGCTAGTGGTAATTAGCAAACACAAAGGTGGCTCTGAGTTCCCTAGAACCCCTAGCAAAAGGAGGAAGACGCTGCCATTTATAGGATACATCATCCCTACAGGATGCTTCTGTGGTTGCTAATGAAAAGGCACAACAGTTATTTTGTAAATAAGAAACAGAATCTTAAGCCAGGGTGTTGTTCAAGAGAGGATCCTGCTCCGCAGGAAAACATGGAAACCCCAGGAGGCAAAGGGCGAATCCAGAGAACAGCACCACTAAAAAGAATCAAAGTGTAAGTCTACCCTGTCTACTCACCAAGATCATTCTAAAGAGAAAATTCAAAGAGCAAATCTGTGTATATTTGCAGTTTCCTCCAGGTTTCCTCTCGCTCCTGAACCCTCTGCTTTGTGAAACAAGAAATGAAGACAGAACGTTCTTAGAAAGCAGAAACTCTAACTGGAATAAGCGGCAGAAAAAAAGAAAGAGACTTGGGTTGCCTTGGGGGATCACACGTGAGCTGATCACACTTGGGGACCAGCACAGCAGCAGAGAGAGCATCTGGCAGTGAAAAAAAAAACAAAGACGGCTATCTCTGAAGTCAGGAGGTGGGGGCTTTTCACGGACTTCAGACAGCAAGGTGGGGGGGGGGGTATTGGGGGGGGAGGGGGGAGGTGGCACTCGGGGCACTGCCCAAAGCTGCTGAGTGGTGTTCTCACAGCCTCTCTGGCATCTCCACAGCCACCACTTCCACTTTCCTTTCTTCAGGCCTTCTGAAAATGCATCAAGAGTGTCCCAACTAGGAGGTGACAGGCCAGAACCAGCTGTCTGCTTACTGCTAAGTTTGGGAGACACTACTTACTAAGGGAGAGCACTCCTCGGAAATTGCCTCTCACTGCTGCTTCCTGTGGTGACTCGCTTCTTCCTGCTTCCACCTGTCTCAACCGCGCTCTTAGGAGAAAAATGCTTGTAGTATGTCTCCTGTTTCTAAAATACGAACTGTTGTATCTTGTTCTTATAGCTCACAGAGATGATAGCTAACAAGCATGTAATAGCAAGGATCAAGCTGAATCCTCAGTTACATAAAACCAAAATAAACACAAAATGAAGTGGCTGATAAAATGATGAGATTCTTCTAAAGCACATTTACCAGGACAGGCATGGCAGCCATTATACAGACACACACACACACACACACACACACAGACTCAAACACACACACACACACACACAGACTCAAACACACACACACCACTTTGTACTATAGCAGGAAGCAATGTAATCGTATGGCTCTGGGAAGGCTTCTGAACTTCTCTGTTCCTTAGTGACCACACATTGTAAAATGGAGGTAATAATGGCTTGTGCCTCATAGGACTGTTTTGAAAATTAAATGGCCTCATGCACATTGAGTTTATAGCTCATGATGACCTTAGACAAGGTAAACACTCATAATCAATTCCTGGCCAGGCAAGGAAGTTCCACTTAAGAAGTGGGTTCTGAGAGAAGTCAGCTTACATGAGATTAACATTTTTAAAATTTTATAAATACATTTTTTACATTCTTCACTTTCTACATTTTTTCATCTCAGTTGTAATCCCTGTGGATTTCCCACCACTTTACCCATGTGCCATCACCATAGTCCCATGTGCTCTTCCCACCCCAGTTTTTATCTTGTTCCCCTCTCCTCCACCATAGAATGTCTCTGGTTTATAGTTGCTAGTTGGTGTTCTTTTTTACTTTATTACTATATATTGAGTGAAGCCATCTGGTATTTTTCTTTTTGTTTGTGGCTTATTTAACAAAGCATGATCTTTTCCAGCTCCATCCATGATGCTGCAAATGGCATGAGTTTATCTTTTTGATTGCTGAGTAATATTCCATTGTGTGTGCGTGTGTGTTTATATATATATATCACGTCTTCTATTTTGGGGAATGCTCCCACACAGCTAGTGGGAATTCAAACTGGTGTGGTCACTATGGAAAGCTGTGTGGAGGTTTCTCAAACTGCTAAAAATGGAGCTTCCATATGATCCAGCAATCCCACTCCTAAGTATCTACCCAAAGGACACAAAAACAATAATTCAAACCCCTATGTTTATTGCTGCCCTTTTTACAATAGGGAAGATGTGGAATCAACCCAAATGCCCAAAAGAAACAAGCTGAAGGGAGAACTCAAATACAAAAATGAATGACATAAGGAAATAAATAAATGTAATAAAATGAAAAGATCAAAAGCAGGCAAACTAACTACTCTGAAGTCCCCCCAGCCCCTGCCTCCCAAACTTCACTATTTCCAGGGAGAGCCCATGTTCACATTCTTGTTTGAGTCACCCTCTTCTCCAACCTTCTCCCTCTTTCTGTTCCTGCACTTTCCTGTCTTTAGAGCAAGCAAAGGAAAAGTCCTCTCCTGTGCCAGGGACTGGCCCTTCAACTCTCACTGTTCATAGGCACTTTGCCAAGTGAAGAGTCCCTGACCAAAAAAAGAGAGTTTCTGCTTCCTATGCCAAAACTGAAAAAATGTACTCTAGCTACTTAAAGCTAGGATGTTTCTAGCTTCATTAGCATAATATGTCTCCTTCTGATTATTTCACTACTAATGAGTAGTTTTAAATCACACTGTAATTCTCTTTATATCAACTTACTCTTGTTGAGGTAGTGCTGGCCTGTAGCCTGACAGGGTAGGTGGCCAGCACTGCAATGACTTCTGTAATCAATACACCATAATCGCTTCTCAAAGTCCAGTTTCCACCCAGCGCCAAACACTTGACTCCTCCCCCCCCTTTACCCATCCCACTTCCTCCTCCTCTGCTTCAATAAATTGACTTTTACATTTTAAATAAATAAATTTTACAAGAAAACCTTATGTCACTAGTATTAATGGCAAAATTGCACTGTTCTTCACAATAAGCTGACCTTAACAGAAACAGTTATTATTTGAAAATAAAAAGGATGTCTCTAGACCATCTAAAATTATTGCCTATTACTAGGCATCTATCTATGCATCACAATTTGGTAAATGTGAGCCTAAAAAAAAGGTCTTTATTATGGTCACCAGGAGGCTGTACAGAGGAGGAAATGGCAGTCAGTGGTGGTTACTGCAGCACTGTGGGGACAGAGGAGGCCAAGGTGACGGTTGGGAGGGTGAGGGGGATGAGGTTAGAGACCTGACAGGGTTCTGGGTAGTGAGAACATCTCATACCCTGCATTGTTGTTCCATAGCACCATGAGAATGGCTAATGTTCATTAAATTGAATTGTACTCTACTGTTAGAATTCAGTGTTGCTATAAATAAATGCTTAAAAGCAAGAAATCATAGGGAACATAAAATCTGAATTATCCAAAAGAAAGTGCATTGTCACCAAATGATCCAGTCCGATCCAGTGTCTGAAACGTCAAACAGATTATCACAGCTTATCAACATTAATATTATTCACTCTGGCCTTGTAATGAACAAAAATAAGTCTGGGATTCTCCAAATCCCACCACGCTTTCTCAATGCAAATGTCACACCTGTTTAAAGGAAAATTAAATACAATGCACCAATCTCAAAATCTGTGCATCAAGTCAGTATGTGAGATAAACAGCAAGATCGACAGTGCTTCCATCGAGCACTGAGAGTGTAAAAGGATTTATGGCTAAATATACAGGGTTCCTGGGCACAGCTCAATTTACTATCACACATAGGATATGTAGAATGTTGGTAGGACAAGCTGACTAGCAATTCTGTATGAAAAACCTACTACAAGCCTGGAATTATGCAGAGAAACATTCTGCCCTTAAAGAAACCCCAAGCAGGGATTTCATACAATATTGCAGCTTGATTCACATAACAATGGAGTTTCTGCCAAGAGAGTTGACAGCTTCCTTTTGTCACAATCTTCTGCTGCATCAAACAGAGTCCCTGGTCACTGCCTAAAACCTACTTTTCTACAGATCTCAAGTGAAAGAAATACTGTCCTATGATTGCACCAGCAACATTCTTTTAGGGTGTCTTCCAGTTAGAGACCTGTGGGGCATCCTCAGTCTCAAATGCTAGTTCATAAACACTGAAACCTTACTGAGTCCCGTTTTCTTTGCACTGCTCGGTTGTATGAAAGTGCAGTAAAGCCTCAAAGAAAAAGACTTCCCTAGGAATCAGCCTATTATTTGATCTCCAAGTACCGCAGGAAATTACAGGAAAACAAAACAAAAACAATTTAGCTTTATGTAACTATCCCATGCAACCCTCATGTCACAGAGTCTAATGATCTGGCTAAAAAAAAAGAACTGAGCAAACTAGAGCCTGTTATAAAAAGCTATTTGAATATATATCAAAAGTTTAAATATACAGATTGTCTAATTTTTACCCCATCTAAATGCATCTTTGTTCCTGTTTCAAAGATGAAGATGTGTTTTCATGTAACAGCATTTCCCATTATGCAGCCTTTTAATTAACATAGTCACCTGGAAACATTTGAGTCATCTCTATCACTTTAGTAAAGATAGAAAAAAAGTACAGATAATTGAACAGTACCACATTCATGATCGTAAATGAAATGATGAAGAAAATCCAGTCATTTGCTTTGTATCTCTACAACAGAGTGTTCAGAGACTTCACAGGACAAGCCTCAATAAGTTAGCAGTACAACAGATACAAAATTGAACATACCTGACATTAGCATCAAGTTTGTCCATTACAAGAAATCAGCATGGATGAGTAGGATTTCAGTGCCCACGGGGTCCTAACATGGGGAAATTAAAAAAAAAAAAAATGGTTAGATAGGAAGGTCATGTAGAAAAATAAAAATTTTGTTGCAGGAAAAAAATACCAAATAATCATAGCTTCCTATTTGCTAAGACTTTTGCAGAGTATCTAAGAATTACTTAGATTTGGCAAAGAGGAATCTGACAAAAGTTTGTGTAGCTTTTGCTGGAGATGAAACATGGGTACTTCTTTTTACTATATGTTAATTGGCTTACTTGTCTTTTTTTGTTGTTGTTGTTGTTCTTCCCGGAAACACAGTTTATTTATTGGATCTGCATCTGGACACTAGTTAATGAAAATAGGTCACTATATTGCTGTGATTAATGTAGTTCATTGAAATGGTCAGTCATCCCATTTCTTATAAGGATTTTCAAGATTTTTTTTAAGTCCTCCTTGAGGATTTTTGAGACTCTAGTAAATTCCTGAAAGCACACCCAGAGAAAAAAAATAGATGTATATAACATCTATACACAATTTCTGGGGAGCCCAAGATTTCTTGAGGAACTCCCAAGAGAAGGGGAATTAACTTTCAAATGCCCAAAAGTTCCTCTCTCAAGGACCTCTCAGAAGACTTGACACCTTTCATGAAGAGACACTCAACTCTCTTAACTGACATTGCAGGCTCATTTTTCAAAGGAATTCTACACTTTCATCACACTGTCTTGATAACACGGTAAACCAGAGAATGGAGGGGCGACAGCTGTGTGTGTTTATTCTGGGGCTCCGTAAAGAAAGCCCCCTTTTATTTCTGAGTATTATCCACTTCTCAATGATCAAAAGGGATTGGAGGAGGTGATCTCTGAGTTCCTTCCAACTCACATAGTCTGTAATTCCATCTGCTGGTTTCTAATCAAATTTACTGACAGCAAACTATAAATCTGGTTACCTACATCACAGAACCATGAAACTAAGCCTGAGCCGTGGAGGCGTTGGCCAGGGTGAGGCAACTTAGGTGTCAGACAGCCAGAAAGTGAATGGCAGACTACCAGAGTAGACAGATCTCTCTGGGAGCTTCCGTGTTTATTCTTTTATGCCTTTCTTGCCAACCAGAGCTCCCACAGATGCCACCTAGAAGTAAAAGGGGGCTTTCTTCAGGGAACCCCAGAATAAACACACCCAGCACTTCCACGTCTGGGGCAGGTGTGGGCAAGGCTCGGCTTATGTGACTCTGAATCCCTTAATCTGACCTCGAGCAAAGTGACTTTGTCCACTTCCATCTCTTTTGGAATAACCTTTCTTTTGAATTACATATGCACAGAGTCCTCACTATGGGAGTGGCAAAGCTCCAACCTCCCTTGTCCTCAATCTCAAGTCACATCCTGTCCCGTGGCTTAAATTACTGGCTATTAACCAAATATGAATTCACTCAAATTTACAGCTCAAAGCTAGATCTTTTCCAGACATCTATCTCCTACCTGACATCTCAGTTTGGCTGATGCAAAAATATGTCAAACTGAACTCTTCAGTCCCCACTGCAACACATAACTTTCTCCGCCTCCCCCTACTCAACAAATGGCTCCACCTTTAACACAGTTACTCAGACCAAATGCCTCTCTGTTAGCCACTGCACCCAAACTCTTGACTTAAGAAAGGGATTTCTTACTCTCATTACCTCTAAAACCAGTGCCCTGGTCCAAGTCACAGACTCTTTCCCCTGGACAATCACCACACCCCCTTCCTCCCTTTCTTCTGCTTGCTCCACTATCCTCTCCTCCCCACAGTATGAGAATAACATGCTGGAGCATTTCTTGCCAGCATAAAATTCTAGCAGCTTCCTGTCACGCTTAGAACACAATCCAAACCCCTTCTCATGACCATAATCAGGTCCAATGTGTGCCATGCCTCACTGCCCCTAAGCTTCTTCTTATGACTATCAAAGTAGCCTCACTGGGCACCTTTTCACTTGTTCCCTTGAAATACTACTGTTCACGCCACGCCCTCCCTTCTGCGGGGACACTGCTTGACATCATGGGCCTTCCCCCACCACCCGAGTGGGAGTCCAGGCTCATATTCTAGATGTGTCTATCTCCTTTATCCACTCTATTTTTTCTTCCTAGTACAGGCATACCTCACTTTGCATTCAGCTACTTCACTTTTAGGAAAGTACCCTTTCCCCATACAGGAAATAAATCTGAAGGCCATTTCCATTTTTATGACAAAATTCAAAAAGAGAACGGCTTCAGTGTCTGTTTTGAACGGCTTCAGGAGAAACCCCTCAACTGGCCAGAGTAGCCCCCTGTGTTCCATCCTCAGGAACTGTATTCTACAGGTAGACAGCATTTATCATGTCATTGCAGATTTTACCATTTCTTATTGTTATTTTAGGTTTAGTATGCTAGTTGGGATGATCTGGTCAGGCCTGGGGATACTAAACAATTTTGCCAAATAAGTTAGTGGTAATTGCTTCTTTATGCCATTTTGGTTCATGAAAGGTTTTACTGGAATGTCCTACTTTTGGAAAATGGGGAAAACCTGTATATACATTATATATATTCTATTCCTTCTTTATTTGTAATCATTCTCCCTCACTAAAATATAAGTTTCTCAAAGGCACCATTATAACTAGATCAATATGATGTCCTCAGTGGCTAGAAAGATACCAAAAATTGATTTCTCTTCGCAGGTATTTTGAGTCAACTAAGTAGCAAAGCAGGAAACTAAGATTTGAGAATTCGTGACCTTCCCACTGGGAGGTATATATGGACCATTACAAACTACAAAACTGTATTTTAAAAAGTAGCAAAACCGGCCCTCCCTGGTGGCGCAGCGGGTTAAAGCACTGCACTGAGAAACTAAAGCCACTTCCTCATGAGTTCGATTCCCGCCTGCCCCGGAGGTGACCACATGGCATGGCAGACCTCTCCTGACCCGCCCGCTGCTCCCCTCAGCAGTGTACTTGTCGATCTGCCTGTTCTGCTCCCTGCTCTGTGTGTGGTGAATCCTCTCACCCTCCGCATCTCTGGCCTGTACCCCAGTTCTGTATGAATAAATAAATCTTAAAAAAAAAAAGTAGCAAAACCATTTCATCTTTATCTATCTTTTGCTAAGCATTAACAGATGCTAAACACTGTCCCTTTCCTCCTCTAACCTCTGAGTTTTTACCTCTATTGTTAGATGAGGAGACTGTGATCAAAGAGATTAACTAACTTGTCAACACCACATAGTTACCTCTTGACCATACTGAGAAAAGAAAGAATCCAGAACTCTGAGTTTAAATCTCAAGCTTAACTTTACCACACTTCTACAAGGAAGTGTGGTAAAGTTCTTCTACAATTTCCTACTAAACAATTATCCCTTCTTTCTGGAGAACAATGCCTTAGTTTTCTTTGTGGAACCATCACCCAGCCCAATCCCTAGTGCCAGTGGTAAACACATGACCAAGAGTGACCAGTCAGAGAGCCATCCATGGTCTGGCTAAAAGGATTCCTTAGCTGGGGTAGACTAGAGAAAGCCAGCCCTTGGATTTTGAGTAGAAAGTCTCTTTTCTTTTTTTTAAGGTTTATTTATTCATACAGAACTGGGGTACAGGCCAGAGGCTCAGGGGTGGTGAAAGGATTCACCAGAGACAGAATGGGGAGCAGAACAGGCAAACTGACAAAGTACACTGCTGAGGGGAGCAGCAGGTGGGTCAGGAGAGGTCTGCCTACCATGTAGATCGCCTCCGGGGCTGCGGATCGAACTCATGCGGAAGTGGCTTTAGCTTCTTAGTGCTGTGCTTTAACCCGCTGTGCCACCAGGGAGGGCTCGAAAGTCTCTTTTCCCTGATGTTGCTAAACTGATAGAAACTTTGTATTTGAAGCTGCTGGCAGCCCTTGTGGCCACTTCATGGTGACTGTCTGAGAATGAAACCAACCTAAAGGAAGAGTTGTAAGAGAATCCAGCATCCTGACGACACATTGAGGCTCACGAGGCAAAAGTGTTTTAGCACAGTTTTACCCACTGAACTTCCTAAATCTATGAGCTGACAAATTCCTTGCCTCCTAAAGTCAGTTTGAGCTGGGTGGTGCCAATCATTATTTGCACACAAAAATATATAAAAGTAATATAAAAAATGTCCTTGTATACAGATTAGAAGGAAAAGTAGTCTGCACAAAGAATACCAGCTCAGAGCTAACTGAAGTTCACCTCATTGAAATGACACTTGAAAATGTTGTAACATGGGGAATATCTTATACATGCCTAGCACAATAGATTGTTACATTTTGCTCATCAAATCCCATTGAGCAAGTTTGGAATGACTGCCATTTAACAAGCCAGTGAGACAGCATGCATTTTGTTAGTGAGAAAGGAACAGGAACAAAAGAGCAGTCAGTGATTAGTACCTATCCTGATTTGATTAATCGATCACACTCCACTATTTTCTGCTGTGCTCACCAGAGATAACTCATCAGAACTGTGATTACTGGAAACCGCTTGTTGGGAAGATTACAGAGTGAGAGGGTTGTGCATGGACCCAGTGTTTCTATCTATCCTGCTTACATGTCTGGCTCCTTAACAAAACACTACCTGTTAGTTAAGACACATTCAGAGCATCTCCTGAATGTAAAATTTCTGCCATTTGAAATTCTAATAGACCATACACGTGCATGTTTTAATGACAGTCATACTGATCTAAGGGGCAAGGAAAACCTTACGGGCAGTTTCCTTCAAAAAAATTTCCTAGATCATTTTAACCCGAGAGAAAATATCACAAGTTCTGGGGACAGGATGAAATGTTGGAAGCAAGCAAGTCCTTCTGTGCTGTGAGGTACAAATGAAGGTCTCGGTATTGTGTCAGGCCTTGGCCAAGCTCAGGTCCCTGGAATCATGTAAAACACTATCTGCCACAAAAATAAAGCTACTGGCAACACTATCTGATTACTTTGGGGTTCCTTTTCCCTGGTAGATGAACACATTCAGACTGTTCTTTGCATAAAAGGGGGGGAGAGGAGAAGGAGGAAGAGACCATATCTTATGCCACCCATTGTCAACTCCAAA